AATAATAGGCTGGGCGGCCATCTGCTCCGGAGGGCATCTGTCCCTTCTGCGTTCTGGGCCAGGAAGCGGGAGAAGAACCACGGCAGTTGTGTGTTTGCCGGGGTTGTGAACAAGTCCACCAGTGGTGTGATGAAGCGATGACAGATTCTTCGGAATAGCTTGGGGAGAAGCTGCCACTCACTGTGGTCAACTGTCATGCGGATCAGCCAGTTGGCCTGATGGTTGGCCATGTCTGAGATGTGCTCTGATGTTATTGATGCTAGGTGTTTCTCCGCCCAGGAACCAAATTTCAGAGTCTCCAGCTAGAGACACTTGAAATGTGTGCCTCGCTGATGGCTTATGTGAGCCTTCATGGCTACGTTGTCCGTCAGGGGGAGCATGTGTCGATCGACAATTGAGTCCTTCAAGTGTAGGAGGGTCAGGCAAGCTGACTTCAGCTCCAGACAGTTGACGTTGTGGCGCAGATCTGAGTTTGTCCAATGATCCTGTGCCAGCTTGGAATTCATCAGGGCCTCCCAACCGTACAAGCTTGCGTCCATTGTGATCATAATGCTATCAAGCTCCCAGAATTCCAACCCACATTGTAGGGCCAGACAGCCACCACTGCAGGAATAGTTATAGTCCCAGTGACAGGGGAGTGGTCCTTAAGGAGTTGCTCATGTGTTGTTGCTGATAGAGAATGAGCACCCACTGCAGTGGCAAGGAGTGAAGACGGGCCCAGGGCGCTATCCCTATGCATGACATCATCTTGCCCAGCAAGCGGCCCAAAGTCAGGATGGAAGCTGACCGACTTGCACGAACTCGACGTGCCAGCGACTGGAGATTGACGAGGCATTCTGAGGAAAGCCGAACCAGTCCCACAACTGAGTCTATCATCGCTCCCAGATGGAGGATTTTTGTTGTGGGCAAGAGATGACTTTGGGGTAAGAGAGAATCCCAGGGACTGTAAGGTCAGATGTAAGCCGTGGACTGCTTGTGTGTGCGATTGGGCCTGAACAAGCACATTGTCGAGATAACATTGGATTCTCGCTGGAGTGGCTCGGAGATCCACCAATGCTGCCAGGACTTTCGTGAACGTGCACGGTGCTGAGGCTAGGCCAAAGGGGAAAGCCCTGTACTGGAAGTGTTACCCGTTGTGGAAGAACCAAAGGTATCTGTGATGGGCTAGCAGAATCGGGATGTGAAGATAGGCCTCTGTTAAGTCTACGGATACCAGATAATCCCCCAGCTGGATCCCCTGGAGGATGGACCTGAGGGAGGACATCTTGAAGCACCTGTATACTAGGTAGGAGTTGAGGCACTTCAGGTCCAGAATTGCTCTCCAGCCCCCCAGCTCTTCGGGACTATTAACCGTTTGGAGTAATGGCCAACCCGCAATCCGGCATTGGGACAGGTTTCACTGCCTGAATGTCCAGCAGATATTGTATGGCTAATCCATTTGACGGCGCAGTTCTGGATCCTGAGACGGGGAAAAGTACTGAAGAGCGTCAGAGGTAGGGAGAGAAAATCCAGAAGTAGGCTGTTCCTGACGGTAGACCTGACCCAGGCATCTGATGTTACCTGGCCCCACTGATCCACGAACTATTCCAGGCGGCTGCCTAAGGGAAGACTCAGATTGGAGTCATTTCCCTTTGCAGAAGGGAGGGCCGCCTCCCCCGCGAAATGGCTGCCTAGACTGACCCTGGTATCTTCCTGTACTGGTAGAAGGGGTACTGACTCTGTCTGCTAGACCTATATGGGAAGTACCTCTGTTGACGGTAATCTGGCTCAGATGCACTGAAAGAAGGCCTACGTATGGACTGGGCAAGAGTCTAGCTTCTTGGTGTTAGATGGTATCTTTATTCTCAATAAAAACCGGGTCTAGAAATTCTCCAAAGAGATTGGTACCCATGTACGGGGCTGCTGCTAGGTTTCATTTGGACTTGTTGTCCATCTGTCAACTATGTAGCCAAAGAAGATGTTTGGCAGTCACCAAGGTGGATGAGGCTCAGGACGCAAATTTAATAGAATCCAGGGTGGCATCCACAGAAAACTGCGTAGCAGAAATGATCTTAGTGAGGTCATGGTGAAGACGCTTATTCTGGACTGGGATGTGGTCCTGCAATTGGCACAGCCACACAACCGCTGTGCGGTTGAAGTAGGAGGCCGCCACAGATATAATTGTGCAGGCGGAAGTATTGAAGTTCTTACGCAAGGTAAGTTCTGCAAGCTTGTCTTCCGGTTTCAACTTATCGGCCACATCCCCAGACACCACCATGGAGGAAGTGGCCAAGCCTGCTATCGGAGCATCTACTGTGGGCAACTGGAGGTCCTGGGAGAACACCTGCTCCATATTATAGAAGCGGTGGTCATTACTCCCAGGATTGGGTAAGGTGGAAGGATGGGCCCACTGGTTTTTGACCACCTCAAAAAATAAAGGTGGGGCAGGAACTTCCTCCTTTTCTGTGGTGGTGTTTGTGAACATGGCCACGTTCGGGTCCTTAGCCTGGGACACTGAGGGGGGCCCTGTCCCTATCTTAGTGGGTTTTTTAGTCTTATATAGAAGGATCTTAAACATAGGAGAAAAGAGATCAGGAAAGGCCAGGGGATCAGGGGGGGACAGTGTCTTAATCCTCAGAGAACCCCATATCCTGGTGTGTGTCCTCCCCTAGAACAGATCCCTTGCTGACCACCGAAGGGGAAGGCGGCCTAGCACAATCATGTCTATGGGTAGAAGATGGAGACCTGCGATGCCGGTAGTCTGAATGACTCCTCCCTTCCCCCAGGATGCGCGCTCCCGTTGCGATGCCCTTAGTAATGTGGGAAGATATGAGCCTCTTAATGCTCTAAGGCATCCAGTTCCTCTTTAACTTTTAATACATTTATATGCCGCCCAATCCCGTAGGACTTCGGGCGGCTTACAAACACAAGATTAAAATAAGGAGTTAAAAATAGGAAAAGAGGGACAATTTAAAAATAGAAAAAAGAGAAACAATTTAAAACGACACACCATATACTCAATCTGAGTGGGGCTGGACCTCATTCATGAGGTCAACAGCCCCAGGCCTGCCGGAATAGCCAGGTCCCCAGGCACAGCCTCTGGAGGACCCTGAGGAGCCAGGTTAGGAACCGGAAGGAAATCCTGAGAACCACCTTCCAAGGGATCTCCTCCATCTGTCATGTAAGGTGTCAGAGAGATGGATGGAGAAGGGGATACCACCTGCCTGGGCTGCCTACAAGGCCTAACAGGTGAGATTGAGGGGGAAGGACTGAAGCCCTTAGGAGGAGAGCCTGATTGGTGAGAGTCGGTCCTAACAGGAGACCTTGACCTGCTGGGGGAACTGGGCCTAGTGGAATGGGCCTGCTTCTCTGCCCTGGCAATCTGCTTCTCCAAAGCTTGTTGTCTTCTGAGCTCATCCCTAATGGTGGCTTTGGAGGGACACTAGTCAGCAGTAGGCTTGGAGGCTGCTGTCCTCGTTCTGTAGCTGTCATGCCTCCCGACTTTGCTACTGGTCTCCATAGGGGCCTGCGCTGGATTTGGCCCTGTAGTAGCCATCCCAGACACTCATGTGTGCCACAAAGTAGTAGAACAGCCATGGAAAATGCCTGCCGATGTCTGGCCTTTGGGAGCTGAAGAGACTGCACTCGACGTTCCTCAGCCTGCCAGCCTCAATTAGTGGCCATGACGCAGGTCCGCAGTGACACTCACGAGGTAGCTGAAAATGGCTACCTCCATGTGCGCAAACAAAATGAACACCAGAGACTCTGTCAATAGAGGCTCAGCCACGAGGAGACTACAGCCAGCTGTTACAAATTGTGGCTTGGCTTTCAAGCCACGGCTCATCTTTCCCAACTGCGGCACACCCTTTGAAGCCGAGACTGACTCTGAGCCGTGGCATGCTTCTTCAAGCTGCGGCGTGGTCTTTAAAGCCGTGGTTGCTCTCTTGAAGCAGCGGCGTGCTTCTTTGAAGTTGCGGCTATTTTTTGCAATCCGCAGCATGCCTGTTTGAGCTGCAGCCCGGCTGCTGGGGTTGTGGTGCAATCTTCCAGTCTTCGTGGGATTGGAGATCCTGCAGTCACTCGCTTTTGCTGCTCCGAGGGAAGCTGTCACCCTCGTACATCCAGGGACCAGATAGGACTCCTCAAGGCCCATAGGTAGGAGAGAAGCACCAGAAAGCTCCCCTACCTCCTTATGAGACAGTAAATATGGTCTCTGTTGTGGCCCAGCAGCGGCCGGCTGAGCTGTTGGTGGACTCTGACAGCGATGACCATTATGGGACTGCTCTGGAGGATGAAGACGACTCTGGAGGGTGTTTGGAGTCAGAGCAGGGACTAGAAAGGCCTGTTGGCCACCAGGTAGCATCTGAGTCAGGGAGCAGTGAGGAGGAACAGAGGGAGGTTGTCTCTGATATGCGTGTGCAAAGAGCTGAGAAGAGAAGGGAGCAGCTGTGGAGAAGATGTCATAGAAGGAAATAGGGACAGCTGGCTACTATTGTGGCCCCTCCAAAAGAGTTTATAGGTGGAGCGACGGGAGGGGAATCTTTGCAGGAAACAACAGTCCATTTTACTAGCTGTTGAGAAAGCATTCAGTAAGTCTAATCATGGTTTTTTGAAGATAGCGTTCTAGGCTCCTAGCCAAGGGGTGGCTTTATCTCCGTAATTAGTTGTGGCAGACAGCCAAGCCTGTATCTGCATATTCATTAGAATCACGGGACAGAACAGTCTCTGTGGTCAGCAGCACCAATTTGGAATTTGGAATAGCCAATCAATTTGACCAATGTAAAAAAACAGCACAATGTCCTCTAATGGAGCCAAAGTCAGTGCTTGGACCAAAGACTGAGAGGAAACTAGGAGCCAACAGGGAAAGGAGGATACTTTCCCTCAGTCTTAGGACCAATCAGGCTTTGACAAAACCCAGCTGTAGCCCCTCCCACCATCTCTACTGGAAAAAGGATGTTCTCTTGTAACAGAATAAGAACAGCCATATACTGAGTTATAAAACTGTATAAAATGTTACTTACTCCACAATAATGTCTCGATCTGCAATGTCTCCAAGAACCATGCGCTGTATTATGCTATTGTGCTCTTCCTCTGAAAGATTTTTATATGAAACCAAAGGAATATTGTATTTTGTTGCAGGTGATGGATCAACTCCTTGTAGCCAAGTGTGATTTTCAATTTCTTCTAAAGATGCCCTTCGTTTTGGGTCTCTTTGCAACATTTGTGTAATTAAACTAGCAAGAAAAATATTAGCATATATTAGCATCATTACATATGGGTTTATTCCACAAAACTGTTTTTCTTTTATAATACAACTGGTTCTTAACGCAACATATAATTGGCTATTTCATTAGTAGAATTCTTCCTATTAAGGGTTATTTTTCTGAGATACTAGATCTCCATACTTTTTTAGAATTATTACACAGGGCTATATGAGATACTTTCCAAGTCCATCACCATATAAATTCATTTGAGATTAAAAGATGTTAAATCACAGCAGATGATAGCACCAATGTAATTTTTATCTTAATAGGTAAGCTGGCTGACTTGGTAAGGGTTTCTATAGAAGATAACCATCACTGTAACTGAACTAGGAAGCACATAAGCAAGTTTTGTTTAATACTGTCTTTTTTATTTGTTTTTCAGTACATTTTAGAAACTTTTACAAATATATAACAGGTATAAAAGTAGTTTGAAAACCAAAGATCACAGCATTAAGTGAGGGAATGTTCACTTTATAGCATTCTCTGGGCAATTTATAATGTCAGCATATTTTCCTCAACAATCTGGATCCTCATTTTACCAAACTCAGATGGACGGAATTCAACCATGAGCCCCATAAGGATTGCACTCCAGACTGTAGGAAGAGTTTTCCTGCAATACTGCATTCAAATTACTGTGCCACCAGGGCTCCTTTTATATAAATGGAAGATTTACAATATACAAGTTCTGATCATATTGTGTTTATAATATACATGAGCTTCATCAGTTCCTGGTTTGCTTCTGGGTCCAATTCAGGGTGTTGCTTATCACGTTTAAAACATGGCATATGGAACTAGGTTCTCTGAGGAACTGTCTCATTCCCGTGATATTGGCCAGTTCTACTCAATCCAACAAAAAGGATATACTGTGGGCCTCAATAATCTTTAGAGGTGTAGAAGGAGTCTGTCTCTGCTATTTGGAATACCTGGCTACCTGAGATAAGGTGTGCCTCCACTCTTGTCTTGGGATCCTGATGAGGGCACTCCACAATGAAGGTGGCTGGTGGAGAGAGAAGATGCCTCCACTATACTGATCTTTCCTTTTACTTCTGATCTTTGTATCTAATGTTTTAAATATTCTTATTTTTATAGTTTTAATTGTAAGTCACCTAAAGTTGCTTTGAAAAGTGAGGTGAGAAGCATATAAATGTAATACAGCTGTTGAAAAATTAATGTTCTCATTTTCAAAGCATTCTTTAAAAATAGGCATGGAAATGTAATAAGACATCATACTATGTCATTAAAAATCAATTTCTCATATAAAAGCACAATAGTTATAACTTTAAAGCTTAAAATAATATTTTACCCTATGAGAATTTAAATCTGCAATGTCTTCTAGAACCAGAACCAATCATAGAATAGTAAATGCAAACTAAGGAGGGAACATAATAAAGGACTTGCGAATAATTATTAAATAACTGCCCATATTTAAATTACTGGCACAATGTTTTGAATTACAAGGCATTTTATAGAATCATTTACTTACTCTTTACATTCTTTGGACACCCGAGATGGTACTGTGTATTTACAATCCATTATCATGGTCAAAGTTTCACTATCATTTGCTTCTTGAAAAGGTGGTTGTCCACATACCAACATGTAAAGAATAACTCCCAGACTCCATATATCTGGCAAAAGATAATGAATTTTAAACTTCAAGACAGTAAATATTTATTTACCATTTGAACAAACATATTAATTAGTCATAATTTGCAAGATCATAACTAACTAGACAAGGGCTGGAATGTTTTCTATGCACTTCCATGAAATATCATTTCAATTTTTATGTTACTCCTCATTTAGCAATTGCAATTGGTTTCAGTGATATGAACCCTAAGTAAACAATGATGATGTTCGTCCATCATGTTCGAAGAGGACCCTGACATCTAACAGCTTGTGGGTTGTCCACAATGTGTCCGCAAGTGGCTGGTAAGGTCTATACAGGCACGAAATGTTCTGCCACATGTGTGGGCACCATTCTTGCAGCATTTGCAGCTCTGGCTTTGCAGAGTGCTTGCTTCTCTTATGTCATGATAGTTCTTCTGTCCTCAGATATCTGGCAGCCTTGGCGGATCAGCGTGTGTCATGTTGATCGATCTTATGCCAGGGTTTCCCAGGAAGTGGTGTCAATTTCCAGGGACTTGAAGGAGATTTTCAACATGTCTTTGTATCGTTTCCTTTGTCCGCCATGCGATCACTTTCCTTAAGGCAGCTCACCATAGAGGAGCTGTTTGAGGATGTGATGGTCTGGCATCCTTGCAACATGCCCTGCCCAGGATGTCTGGGCTTTCATCAGCAGGATGTGAACTAATGGCAGGCCTGCTCTGGAGAGGACTTCTATGTCTGGCACCTTGTCCTGCCACCGGATCCTCAGTATTCTATGGAGGCAGGTCATATGGAAGTGGTTCATTTGTCTAGCATGCCTCCTGTATACAGTCCAAGTCTCACTGGCATACATCAGAGTAGTTAGCACTACTGCTCGGTAGACTTTAAGCTTTGTAGCAAGGATTATTCTACGGAAGTCCTACATATTGGTCAGGAATCAGCAAAATGGAGAGTTTGCCTTGGCGATTCTGCAGTTGATCTCAAAGTCAATTGTCACTGCATGGGAGAGGGTGCTGCCAAGGCATGTAAATTGGTCCACTGCTTGCAACTTTTGTCCCTTCACTGTGATGGTGGGCTCTTGGGGTTGGGCTTTCGGAGTTGGCTGATGCATCACTTCGGTCTTTTTTATGTTGATAAGGAGACCGAAGTTGTTGTATGCTGCTGCAAATTTGTCCACACTGGCTTGCATTTCCTGCTCTGATCCAGCATTCAGGACACAGTCGTCAGCAAAGAGGAGGTCACACAGCACAGTCTCCTTTATCTTGGTGACAGCTTGGAGTCTTCATAGGTTGAACAATTTCCCATCGATCCTGTACCTCAGGCTAACTCCCAAAGAACTGTTCTGGAAGGCATCTGACAGCATGGCTGAAAACATGCTGAACAAGGTTGGCGCTAACATGCACTCTTGCTTGAAGCTGTTTGTAACAGGAAAGGCAAGATGGCATATGAGAAGAGTGAGACTGACTATGCGTACCTCTCCCTCACTTTAATCCAATTCATGCGCAAGTATTGACATCTCCCCAATTCCTGTGAAGTAAACCATATGACAGATAGGGAGGGAGGGAGGGAGACACTCTGATGGTAGCAATCAACAATGCCAGTGTTCCTCTCAATCCAGCATGTGTTTTCCAGTGCAGAAATTTGAGCATAAGGATACTCATTACTGTTGATTATCATATTTGAGATTACTTACTGAAACAGTTGCTAAATGAGAACTACTTGTTCACTATATTATTTAGTTAAACATTGACAACTGGAACAGTCTTACAGAATATGTAGATCTAGAGATCCTGAAACTGCTTTTGTAGGACCTTTCCTACGGGAACCTGCACACAGGAATGTTCTTTTCCTAAATTTTATAGATGCCTATTGTTAAAGTTTACAACACTGAAGACCTCTATCAATCCTTTTTGTATGAATAGCTAAATAAACCTCCTTTGTTTGTTTTCTTTCCCCTTTTTCTGTATTTTCTGATTTGAATATTTTGTAGGCCATATATAGTGCATTTGAATAGAATTAAAATGCTCATTTAAAAAAATGTCTTCCTGTCATAAAGCACAACTGAACAAGCAAGTCCATTTATTCATTAAAATGCAGTACAAAACTCCTTAAAATATCTAAAGTGAAACTCTTTCCTATTAATTGGATGGTGTTATTTATCCCCTATAGTTCTTTTCAGATTATGATTGAAAAGAAAAATGATAAGAGCTTTGCAAAAGGGCTTTAACTAAAATAATTGTGATCATTTGGAAATGCTTACAATTTCACATTAATCAAATCAAAAATTATACAGAAAAAAAATCTTTTGTGTATTAGTTACTAAGCAGGGAACAAAAAACTACTTTTTTTAATCTAGAAACTTTCTCAATATTTCTCTACCTCATTTAGTGTTCATTTTTATTGTTACATGATTTTCATTAATTTTAGATTGGTTGCTTCCATTACCAAACAATCAGGCAACAGAACTTCCAGAAAAGACTGGAGTANTATAATATAAAAACTATGAGATATATACAAATTACTAGAAAGCCTGATTCATGAGACAATTGTTATATTTAGATATAACTGTCAATATTTATCATTGACAGTTAATTATATATTAATGAAATTATTATTTTTAAAATGGAAAGTGGACTAATACAGACAAAGTTGTATAACAAGGCCTTTCCAAGAAAGATGTGCAGCATATTATCAAGTATGATTGAAGTAAAAGTTAATAAAAATAAAACAACATTGCAGCATCCTGCTAATCCCAGGTTAGAAAAATTCATCAACAGCTTGACCTGGCCCATCTCTTTTTTCTCACTTTAATCCTGTCCTTTCTAGAAGAGAACTGGAATAGGTTGTAATCTTTTGTCATTGTCTGAGAAGAAAATAAATATTTTAATGATAAATTGTCAGTTGAGGATCCTTATTAGAATTATGTACAAAATGTTTATATCGTTGTGACAACTAAGACAAATTTCCCAGTGAAATAAAATCTTTATTGAATGTTGGGAGTCTACTAACCTTGGCAATGCACTTTTCAAAGGTAACATCTTAATTATGCTTTGATCATCAAGTTGCAAGTTTTCTTCATATTTTTAGAAGATTCGTCTACTGACATTTCTATATCCAATACCAAGACCAGTTTCACATTCTTCCACTGCTATTTCCTACATAAAAAAAATATTTATTAGCCACCATAATTGTTTTATCTTTAAATCACAAAAAATACTGTGTTTCCCCGAAAATAAGACAAGTCTTATATACATTCTATTTACATTTTATATTCTAATTTTAATGGTTACTGAATTTTTTGGAGTATGAGATGCATCGGAGTAGAAGACGCACCAAGATTTTGAAGAGGTAAATTTTTTAAAAAAGTTTTTGCACTATGCAGACCTCCCAAACCCTCTCCACGCCTCATTTTTTGTGAAAAAAATGTGGCATGCAGAGAGTTTGAGAGGCCTGCAAAGTGCTCCTGGGGGCTGGGGAGGAACACAAAAACAAGCAAAAAATGTCCCATTTTCACGAAAATGGGCCCGTTTTTTGCCAAAAAAGAGGCATGCATAGCTTTTAGGAGGCTTGTAGAGTGCTCCTTAGGGCTGGGATGTGTGTGTTAAAAACAAGCAAAAAATGGCCAATTTTTTTTTGTGCTTGTTTTTGCCCTCCCCAGTCCCCAGGAGCACTTTGCAGGCTTCCCAAACCTCTGCACATCCATTTTTGTGAAGGGGTCAGGGTTTCGGGAGGCCAAAAATTCTGTATTCAGTGTATAAGACACACCCAGATTTTCTCCCTCTTTTGGGGGCAAAACAGTGTGACTTATACTCCAAAAAATACAGTATGTTCTAATTCTACAACAAACTTTCCTAATTTCTTTTAAATATTTGGGAACTCTCTTTGAGAGTGGGCGGCATACAAACCCAATAAATGAAATGAAATGAATATTTAACTGAACTGAATCCCAATATCCTGTACCTTTCCTTTTGGTATACAATGCTCTACAATGGTGAATACACAGGACATAAATAATATGGGAATGTATTCCTGGAGAAGTAGATCTGGCATTATCTGTTCAAATGTGTATGTTCAAATGTATCTTTTTAGGAAATCCCGAAACCCAAAGGACACAGATATTTTTGATAATATCTCTGAATGGGACCAATTTATTTCTTATTTCCAATTTTTTCTATTGCTGATTTTGTCTTTTATATACTTTTTATCAGAATCAAGAAATATAACATTTTACAAATAAAAAAAATTCTGCCAAAGAAAAATTCAAATATTCATCTTCATAGTAAGAATCAGTCTATAAAAAATTTGAAGGTTAAGACCTTCAGAAATTCTTTGAAGTGATAACCTTCCAGGAAAATTCTAAATGGTAAAGCTTTGGAATTTTTTGGAGCATAGCCAATTATTTAATTCAGTGTTAGATTTGAGACCTACTAAAATCATAGAACAGACAAAAAGAAAAAGGAACAATTCTGCAAGAGTTGAAATATTAGAATGCTTTCAGTAAGTTTTATGTTTCCAACCGCCCCATCCCACAAAAAAAAAAAGATGGTTAGTTGACAATCATTAACTAGAACAGGGATGTCAAACTGACGGCCCACGGACTGGATGCATCACGGCAGGCGATATCCTCCCCATCTCCGTGAAGGGGAAAAAACTTTGTGAAACATCACATGACGGCAATGTGATGTAGTGAGTTTGACACCCATGAACTTGAAGATGGGGAACTGTTTTACAGAGTTGTAGGAATCATTAATTAATAAAATAGATTAATAAAAATGTGATCCAACTATAATTGGAATTACTTATAAATATATATTACAGGCACAAAATGTAACAACCATTTTACAAATATGCAGATCCTTTTTAATTACTTTGTTCAATAGTTATTCACGTAAGTATTCCATTATTTTTAATTTATTAATGTTCTAAACAGTCAAAGATTTAAATATGCCTTTAAGACCATATCAAATCAGTTAAAAGCAGCAACCAACAAATTTAATAACTTCTTCGTAGCATATGTTAAGAACTGCATGCCTGATGTCCATAGCACATTCCAGTCCAGGTGTTTTACTAGATATCCATGATGGCAACAATATATATGTATATGTGTGTATACTGAAACAACATATAGGCAAATATACATATGCACGCACAGAGATATATAACTGAGGTTAGGGGAGGATATACACTTGGGTCATGATTATGACATTGGCTAAGGCTTAAGCCCTTCCTGATCTAGCTTTCATACAGACATATTTTTTCCAAAGTTACTTCCCATAAAGGTTGATCACCCATGGGCCAGGAGATTAATCAGTGCAAAATGACCAATGAAGTTTTCAGTGCTACAATTTTGACCATTCTCCCAATGTTCTCTTTTAAAACAAGATGGAATAGATTATCTATTTACCCAATATTGTGGAATTTTCTAGAAATACTGTGCTACTATAATAAAAATCATTATGCTTCTCTATGGCTCTTGATTCAATTGAAAGTGTTTTTCATCTACACTGAAAGTGAATTTTTCTAATTACATTTTTGAATTTTTATTTCCAGTTGATTAAAATACTGTTACAAACAGTATTGAACACCAATGAAATAATATTAAAATACATGTTATTATGCTGTTGTATATGTAGGAAAATTGGTTGAAGGAGAATAGGAGGCCACTTCAGTGAAACACTGAGTATATTTGAAAAAAATAAAATACTGTACTGAGCTTTATGTTAGTGCTCAGCGGAAACCAAGTGGATCTTTGAAAATGTCTCACACTTATAATAATCTAATAAAGCTAAATAAATTCTATTCTAAAACAGCAGGACAATAAAATGGGAAAACAATTATTATGAAAGAATTTGTCAAGGAATCAAATAAATGCTGCATCTATTTGGTATCTGTGTAAATATACGAAAAGAGATGCAACAGTATTAAGAAGCATGCATCTGAAATGGCATCCAGAAAATATTGCCAGTGCACCAGAAATGCAATTACTGGTAAATGAAGTTAGACAAACTTGTCTTAAAAGTGTTATCTGAATAACAGTCTACATAAAAAAGAAATAAATTGTGATCTTTCGCACTGAATAATAAAAAAATCTATTTTATATATACTGTTATATCATCTGATCACCTAGATATTTCAGTAAATGCTCTTGACAATCACCATGTATCAAATTAACTTTTTATTTTTAAAAAAATCCAAAACATTAGTATTATAGTTACATATAGTACAGGGCAAATGAATAGAATCTTTTCAGCTTTGTAGATTTTATTAGAGTACTACATATATATGCATACACACACATTGTACACAAACACACACACATTACATACTCTAGAAAAGTAAACATTGTAAAAAAACAGAATGTTCAGTTAGGTCTGCTATATACTTTCTAATTATACTATCTAAATAAGCTAAGCCAAATTGTGCATTTCTAATGAGAAATTATCAGTGGGAAAGGCCATAATCACTGCAGCTAGCAGTTACAAAAAAACCCCCAAATTTTGTTTGTTCTGTTTTTTGGTTCTGAGTAACCCTTATTCCTAAAAGAATATCATTTTCCAAGCAGGTTTAACTGCTTCAAGAACCATATGTACTGTGTCAAAACCTTATTTCATCCCACTTCTCTATATTAAATGATGACTTTTGTGATTTTCCATAAATCATATATAAAAAATACTCTTATATAGGTAAGTATGATTGCACTAGAGGGCAGGCTTTAAACATATCCTTTGGAACAATTTATATCTATAATAGCCAACTGTAGGAGAATCATAGTTAATCCAACTACCTTTTGTTAAATAAATGTATTTTAACTTCTAAAAGAATAAGTAAGCTTTAAAATCTAAGCTATGAGATATTTTTTATTTCAAGAAATATTTCAAGCATATGTTCAAAGAATTAGATGTTAATATATACAGAATTCATTGTACATTGCACATTAAAATACTGATATTAAATAATTATAACATTTCAGTTAATATATTTTTTCAATCAATAAAAGATACAGTTTAAACTATAAAAAGGCTGTTTATGCTCTTTCATCTATCTGTTTCAATTAATATTAATAGAAGGGAATAAACAAAGACGTTCTACAGGTCTTATGCCTGTGTCAAAGATGGCAAATAAAACAGAAATTGATGCAGCTTAAAAAAATGGCTGTTTGCCAAAGAGATCATCAAGTCATAATGTGTTTTTGGCATGACAACGCTATGTAAGCACTTCCATAGAAAAGGGCTCTGTGTATGCACCACAAAAAAAATAAAGACTGCTATGCTCATTCTGAACAAACCTGTTGGCTCTCTATCCACATTGCAGAAATAAGATGCACTGTCATCACCCAAATAGATCTGCAGTTCGAATATATGAATTTCTTAACTGCCACCCAAGCCGGACGAATACACAACAGTTGGCGATGGGGGTGTGGAGAGAATGCTGTTGTTTGGACTATAGGGAATTGGGGGAAGAAAATGGAAACAAAACCGCTAGCGATGGCAAGGGGACAAAAGGTTAAACTCAATTTCACCTTCTCCTCAGTCATGTATCTTAAATCTGCTTTTTGCAATGCTGACAATTACAAACAATAAACGAATTTTAACCGACCATGCATGCTCTCGGGGACACTACAATTACATGCGAAGAGCCCCCCCCCCCGCCGCATTCTGTCTCTTTCCGTGTCTCGTACACATACGTATTTCCTCGCCTCGCCCATCTATTGCAAAAGAGGAACGCAAGAAGGGTGTGCAAAACCCGTACCGACAGAGTTTTCGAGTGGATTCGGAGTTCGGCCCTCGGGAATGACGACGAGCGTCTGGGGTACTCACGTTTTCCATCCCCAATGGCTGCTCTTTCTTTGCCAGTACCTGCCCCCGTAGGCCTCAGAAAGAGGAGGTCAAACTGGATCCGTCTCGTACCCCGCCCTTAGCAACTTACTCTCGGTTCTACTGGTGACGGCGGCAGGATTTCCTTTTGTCGCGGCCTCGTCTTCCCACCGGCCGCTCCCTGCATGGAAAGCGAAGGTTCCACTTCAGTGTTCGCCGTCTACAACCAAACCGGGTAGAAGACCGCAGATCGGCCTCTTTAGCGAAGAAGCGACAAGTGGCCACTACAGAGGTCAGCCGATCGCTCTGCGTCGCGTGGCCCGCACCCCTTTCCTTTAAATTCCGAAGACTCTGCGCCCAACGAACGACGCTCCCGTGTCTAGCGTCCCAAGGCAGGCGGCGAAACGTACAGACAACAGCTTGTAGTCCGAGGACAGCAGCGGGAAAGGAAACGCAGAATAAGGAGGGGCCTCGGCAGAGCAAAGGAAATGCGCATGAATCCTAGGAGGGAGGCTCCATCCGAGAGTAGCCAATGGGGGAGTTCGATTTCTGCGGCTTGTCTTTCCGCACCTCCACGGCGTGAGGTAAGCTGCTGATCATAAGCACAGCGGTTGATATAGGTGGTGCCGATCTGTAAGTGATCTCTGACTGTTGAAAAATGTTTCATAAGAACATCTAGCGTTAATTGGTTAATAGCGAAAACGAGTTCCCCCTCCCCATCATTGAGCTCTTAATAGATATGTAATGTCTCCGCATCTCATCAGCGAAGCTCTAGATCATAAACAAAGTTTTAAGCTCACGGTCTGTTTAGTGTTGTTTACACACCGAGGAAGTTAAAGATAGACCGGAAACCAGATTGCATGGTTATCGGTGAAATGTTAAATGTCAGTGTTCATTAGTGAGGGATACAGTGTCATGGCAGTTTATTACGGATTAATTAATTAGATATGCAGTGCCAGAGCTTTTTGTTTTTAATAGAATGTGGCAGGAGGTTAGCTACTGGTCCATCCCTTTTAAAACTTTTAATTATTTAAAATACTTTTAAGTTTAGCATAATTATATATTAGAGTGGTTTTTAAGTTAAGCTCTTCTTACAAAGGTATCCTTCTTGTATGTTCATCCAAATATTTATTTACTTGTTAAATTTATGTTGTTGTTAGTAGCGAAGTTGTGTCCGACCCATCATGACCCCATGCCTCCAGGCCTTCCTGTCCTGTACCATCCTCTGGAGTTCATTTAAGCTCACGCCTACTGCTTCAGTAACTCCATCAGTGGTGGGTTGCTTATCCCGTTCCAACCGGTTCGGTTGGAACGGGGCTGGCGGCGTCCTCGTACACGCACACAGTTCATGCATGCGTCATAGCGCCTGCGTGATGCTCCAGCTGCTCGCAGAGAATCACGCAGGCACTGTATGTGCCATGCGCCTGTGTGGAAGCACAGAAGCCTTCAAAGACCAGTAAGGAGCGCGGGCGGGTGGGTGGCCCCTTTGCTGTTCCCGGAAGTTACTTACTTCTGGGTTCGCCGACCAACTGGTTCGCGGGGACCACTGCGAACCGGTTGAAACCCACCCCTGGACTCCATCCAGCCACCTCATTCTCTGTCGACCCGTTTTTTCTTTTGCCCTCAATCCCAGCATTAGGTTCTTCTCCAGTCAGTCTTTCCTTATCATTAGGTGGCCAAAGTTAAATTTATACCCTCTGCAATAAGAAGGACCCTAGATGTTTTACAGAGCAACATAAAAACAATAATGTAATAAATTATCAAACAATTAAATCAATAACTAAAAATAAAAACAAAACTGCTCAACGTATACAGACCAATAAATCAGTGGTGTCACTTCAAACTCCATAGGCTTTTTGAAATATTTTAGTTTTTGCTAACTAATCAGGGGGTTGAAGGTGAAATGAATCTCCAGGAAGAGGTTCGGAGAGATCCCATCTGAAAAACAGAGCCTGTAAGCTTCCACTTCTCTTGTTCCTAAAAATGAGAATCACCAGCCTTTCTTCCATGATATACATATAGAAGCCAAACTGGGTTGGAAAAAGTGGTCCTGGAACTACAACAATATTAAACCATGTAGGGCATTGTAGGTTAAAACCAACCCTTTGAATTGCAATCAGAAGCCTATAAGAAGGCAATACAGGACTTGAAACCATGTATGTCAACCAACATCTGGGCTGCTTTATTCAGAAAAATGTAAAAATATTACATTTTTAGATATAACAATTGAAATGGTAATAATAAATATATTTAAATTAGTATATCTAAAAATGGTTGAGTTTAGCTATGTAAAACTTTATTATACAGTAGTGGCCAAAATTGTGGCAACCTTTTGGGAAAAGTGTATTTTTGAGATTTGATGGCTAATAACACCACCTTTTTTGGAGTAATACCATAACATTATATTTCAATGGAAAGATAATTTAATCAAGAATATAATAGAACAAAGTTTGTTCAATTATCTGTATTCTATGAAAAGTTATAGCCAAATAACCAGAAAAAGGAAACNTACTACTTGTAATATTTATAATATAAAATCCTAACCATAACAATATGATTATTCAAAGCTAAAGTATTAAGACTTTTGCTGAATGGCACATAATAACTAATAAGAAATGAGAGGGGAAGGGGGAAGGAGGGAGGGAGCTTGGAATGAGATGGAGGTATGTGTTCTGTGTGTGTGTGTGTAGAGTGGGGGTATTTCAGAGGGAGGAGAGTGTGTGCATGCATACACACTATTCGGGAGGTATTGGGGAGATTTTAAGAACTTTGGAGTCAATCCAGTATAAGAGAAAGGGAGAGAGGGAGGAGAGTGTGTGCATGCACACACGCCTATTCGGGAAGTGGTGGGGAAATTTTATAAGCTTCCGGAGTGAATCCCTTCCCAATTATTTGTCTGCAAAGCTGTGTGCACAAGTGCTTGGGTCCATCTACTGCTTCCACTCACCTCCTCCCTCCCCCCCCTTTCCCTGCTGCTTTGATCAAATCAACAGGAGAATAGCTGGGGCTTTGACAAGAAGTGGGTTTGTGCCAGTGGTGGATTTTTAGGGGACTGAGCATAAGAACCCAAAGTCCAGCCGCCCCTCCCCTCCATTAAAGAGGAAGGAAGGAAATGAAAGAGCTGGAAATGAGATGGAAGGAAGGAGAGTGGAGGGAGATGGAAGGAAGAACTGCATGTGGCCCCAAATAATTTTTAGGGAGGGAGGGGGGAGAGAGAAAGGAAATATTCTAATGCATTATTATTAGTATGTCTATTAAGAAGATACATTCAAATATTAAGAACTGAACACCTTCCTTTTCTTTCCTTCCTTCTTCCTTCCTACCTTCTTCCTTCCTTTCTCTACTATATTATTTTGCTCATTTCCACATTCTTAAAAAAAATCCCTAAATTATCTAAATGGGATCATTTATAGTCAAGTTAATGAATCTTAGCTAAAGCTTTTGTCACATACAATCAGTTTTGAACAAGACTTCTAGAGGTCCTTTAGATTTGATTCCTAAAATGTGTGTGTGAGAGAGAGAGGAAAGAAAGGAAGAAAGGAAGAAAGAGAAAGGAAGAAAAAAAAGGGAAAGGAAGAAAGAGGAATTAAGGGAGAAAGAGAAAGGAGAGGAAGGACGGACTGCTAACCGTGGCACTAGACATGGCTTTAGAAAATGCTTTGAAACAGCACAGCAAACTAGTGCTGGAAGGGATCTGGGAGGTCATCTAGTCCAGTGTTTCCCAAACTTGGCAACTTTAAGACTTATGGACTTCAACCCCCAGAATTCTCCAGCCAGCTCTGCTAGCTACTTCTCTAGCCAAAGCTGGCTGGAGAATTCTGGGAGTTGAAGTCCACAAGTCTTAAAGTTGCCANGAGCATCGCACAGACGCTAGTACGCATGCGTGCGCCACGCGCGTGCGCGAGGACGCCAGCGGCCTTGTTCCAACCAAACTGGTTGGAACGGGGCGAGAAACCCACCCCTGGAATCCAAGTATTTATTCAAAACAAATTAAAAATTCTGTTAAAACTCTTATAAACAATGTTTCTGATTGAGACCACACAAATATTAGGAACATCAGTGATTTTAAAACATAAAAATAAATACTTCATTTAAAGAAAGTCTTAACTCTTAAATATGTAACTACACAATATGTAATTTGGAATTGTAATTTATAAGGATTTATAGCTTCTGGTTAGCATTTGCTATTTTCAAATACTTTTGAAACACCCCAATTGTGAAAGTTCTTCCAGCCACATTCTCAGAGCCATGACAACCAGGCAAATACATGCAACTTCCTTACTCCTTACATAACATCAAGTCACTGCTATGGAAACCAAACTTCATCACTGACTGCCTCTTTAATGCTTGTCACAAATCTAATAAGGAGAAGGCCCCAAAATTTACTATGGATTTTGTTGTGCAGTTTATTAAAAATGCTATTGTTTTATTTTGAAAAGAATGTCAAACAAAACTGTCAACCAATGCAAATCAGTAAAAAAAGCTATATCTTTTTAATGTAGTTGCAACATAACAGAGGAGGCATACTATATTTTCTCTGTTACTAATTTCTAAAAACAGAAATATAAATGATTAAATTATATATTTCTTCATATTAGTGGCCATGAGAAGACTCTTGTAAGTCTTAGAAATTAATTACCTGTAACATTTATCAGATATATCTGTTGGACTAGCTTTAAAGATATTTTTGACAGCATATAGGAGTAAGCATTATACTATAATATAATGAAAATTCCAGGTGCCTGGGAGTGGTTCCAGTATTACAGAAAAGTTCTGTTAATAAAAGTTTTGTGGGACTCCCATATTAATCTGTATTTTCTTTAAAATCATAGAAAAATATTTGCAGAATAATTTATTATAACATAATACAATCTCCAAGTGGCAAGGAGTGTTATTACAGGAAAGATCTGTGAATCATGGGAGTCTCACATAAACCCACGTGATTTTTTGAAAAATAACATGGAAAAATTATCTACATAATAAGATTAATTATATAAGATACTATTAATATTATGTAGCTTGAAACAGTGCAGGCCAAACTCATCCAAATGATTTATCATCAGACCATCACTTTCTAATGATTTTCTAGAAAAAGTTAGAACAGATGCTATCTCCAGACATGACATATACTAAAAAGGAAATTCACATGAAACATTTCAAATGAATAACATTTTTATCACAGTCAGATATTCACATCACAAATCAATCTTGCCAACTGTGTCCAATTTACTTAGTAATTTATTATTCAAAATGCCTACTTTCTTTTTTCATGGGACTTCCTAATAATGTATTACAAAACTTTAGGCAACTAAACAGAGATGGGTTTCAGGGGGTACGGTACGGTTTGCAAGAACCTGATCCAGAAAATCGGTGTGTATTTGCATATCAGGTCCTCCGGAGGCTGCGTACCGGAATGCTGACCTGCCCCCCTCATTCAGCCCCGTCCACCCTGCCTGTCCGCACCCTGCTTGTCCCGCCCACCCACTTCC